GCATAATGTCACTTTAATTTATGTTTAACTAGGGATATCTTTTTTGTTATTTTATAGGTAATAAGGGTATACGGCGTAGTGTTGCCACACGTGACACTGAAAAAAAGTTTGTCCCTTCAGTCAGAATGTCAATTTGCCTCTTTTTTTCTCACTAGATGGGTCAAATATACTTTTTAACCCTGCGTAAAATCCAGACTGGATGACATCCTACAACAACTCTACTTCCTGATTGACGAAGGTCAAACGATAGGTCCAGATGGTAAAGGAACAAACGGACCAGACGCTGTGCTGTCGATGGTAGACTGGACATTGCAATCAAGTTAATTAGACTCCTGCCTTGTCGACCAACGGTATTTTATAGCAAACTATTTACAATGATATCATGGTTAAACGATTTGTAATAGTGCCTAACTTTAAAATCGGAGTTGTGTACCATAGAATGAGAACATATCTTATAGATGAAGGTGTAAGGGTGTATTGTTTGTATTAATCGTTTACCAGTAACACTAAATAACTTTACTTACATTTTTATAATAGCATGAAGTCAAAAATGTCCATACCGTGTAATAAGAACGTATTCACGTTCCTGAAAGAGTATATTTAAGCCTAATCTAGTAAAAGATTTTAACATTTGATTAATTCTATATCATTCGTTCTATAATTAAATTAAATTTATAGGTTAGGATGGTCTTAATTTTTATTTTTTTACAAACTGACAGTAACAATTTGTGAAATTCAGTCACATGACCAAGTTTATGGAGCTTTCCAAGTTGTTCCGTTCTTTTAACTAAAATAAATATGCACAGAATACCATTTGATATTGTTGATTTATAGAAGCATATTAGAAAATAAGTTTGTAACAGTTGTCATAACGGATATTTATCGTTTTCTTTTGATAGAAAATTCCAGCATATCCCGTTCCGGACAGACACACTGGGTGCGATGATGGCCAGAATAACACCCGAAAGCGAGAAACAGTTGATTCAAGTCTCGATGTAACCTGGATTCTGGTTCAGTTCAGGTGTCCGTCCATGAGTTATTATGCCTTGGGGTGTCAAAAGAGCGCAATAGATATTTTGTGCGAAGCGTGCAAGCGTTCGTAAGTCAAGACAATCGGTCTTATTATCAGTGATCTAGGTGCACTGTTATAACAGTTTAGTGATTATACTTATTCAAACTACTTGTTTCTATGTTCATCATACGGCATTATTGAATTGTTTTACAATTTTCTACACTGTTATGTTCTAAAGAATGAAAAAGTAAACGTAGAATTTTGAAATTAACTATTTGTTCATTACTTTTCATAGCCGTAAAGATATTAAAGGTTAAAATACGTAGACTTATATACTTATGTTTGTTTCTTTCTTTGTATCGGGTATATACTTAACAATTTGTCTGCTGACTGGATGATTCACCCATGCGACCGGTGCATATAATCTGTCGCCGTTGCTTTCTTTCCCAAACCCCAATGTATGGACCTATCAGGTGTTTCCTAATCATAAGCGGTTAGTTGCTAATGTGAAGCAAAAATTGTCAGATTTATTTCTAAATGAGTGGTATTGTACAGAATCGAGTAAATGTAAAAAATATAAATTATTTAAAGAAAAAATTCAATTTCGAACACTTTTAACAAATATACCAAAAGACTTACTACTATATGTAACAACAAACAGCAGGCTTCCTGTTGAAACCGGAAGTTGGATGTTAAAGATTTAGATTTACGTAAATGTACACTTTGTAACAGCTCCGGAAGCATTGGAGATGAATTCCATTATCTCTTTGAATGCAATGAATTATCTGTAATTAGAAAAAGAATGTTAGATCGTAATTATGTACGACATCCAAATTTTATTAACTTTTAAATCTATTATGAATATGAATCTAACTCATGGTAATGAATACAGTAATTTTTGTTTACTTGTTAAGGAAATAATCACAAAATTTGATAATAGATTTCTACATATTTGTTTATCATGTCCTTGAAAATGCGTGTCCTTCTCCATTTTGTTAAGATGAATTGTATTAATATTATTACTTTCATGTGTCTGCTATGCCTCTTTATGTAATGAATGCATATATGCTATAGCTCATATTGTTATGTGTGTACATGAATTGAGTTCTAACTTTGAAACTAACTTTTTACATTTAGATCAAACTAATTGAGTTGATTTAAGATAAATAAAATTGTCGTTTAAAATTCTTCAATTAATAAACGTCAACTAATGTTTTCTACGTCATTTGTAAATAAAGTTTTCAAATATATGACAATTTTTAAATAGGTATATCTCAATAAATAACCATTTGATTTAAAAATAGTTTTCACTAAGTTATTAAGAATCAGAAAGAAAATCGCTACAAAAATGAGATAAAAACCCAATATCGAAAAAACTGTCATTAAGACCGGTTTTTTCGCGTCGTGCGTCATATGTATCTTAATGTATATCAATACTTAGATGGCGATTTAAATGCACGTAAATGCAAGTTAATTTCAGATGTAATATTTTATACCGAAATTCATTATTATATAGACTTTTTTTAAATTTCTAGAAACAACAAAGATATTGAGAGATATATATTGGGAGATCTCCTGTAGTATTATGCTGTATTCATAGTATCCATATTTTAAATGGTCGTTTGAACAATAATTTTGCAGGTTATTTTACTTGTTTAACTTACTATAGTGCAGGTGTGGTTGACTGTGGTCTCGTCAGATATTTTTTCTCATAAAAGTAGTTTTAACGTTGAAGAGCGTCACGAATCAGATCATTTACCATTTTGTGCAAGATTGACTTAGAGTAATGGCGACCATTTGTTAGATACAACAATTAAAAAAGAAACGTCTAATGAAGTAAATGTCGACAAATATAGATGGAATGATAGGCATGTGGCGGATTTCTTACATTTATTTACCGCGAATTATTTATAATAGAAAAAGAAAGACACTTAGGTCTTGATAAAGATTAAAGGTTGTGTACATATTGCCACCCAGAAACAATGTTTATTCTATTTAAAACGAAGAGCATTTCCTGATTATTTGCCCTTTGAACAGCGCTATAAGAGAAACTTAGTTCAAAGCAAAATGGTTAGGTGCTCCAGTAACTAATGAGTTATTTATATCCTTATTATGAGTGATAAAGAAACTGACAGCATTTTCTCATTAACAAGATTTTAAATGTTGAATTAAATGAATCATTTAATTCAAACAAACCGACATATACACCTCAATCATTGTCAAATATCTTCCTAATTAAAACACTTTGATACATGTATATCTCTGTTCATAAGGCAGATACTTAAAAACAAGTTTTATACAATATGTTTATGATGTTGATTTAAAACATGAATAACGACGTTATGTTTATGATCTGATTTAAGAAAATGAATAACGACGCTACTCTATAACTAAAGTTGATACCATTTTGAATGAACTTTGGACCAGAAGCCTTATAATGCAATAAAACTTTGTTGTTTTGTTGTCGTTGTTGTTGTTGTTGTTTTTGTTATTATTTTATCAAATAGCAGCAAACTACAAGAAAACAAAATGAGAGCTGAAAATAAAATTATATTTTAGCGAACTATTGTATGCTTCATATTAATACTTCATATCTACATGTAACTGTGACCATAAAATGTGAAGTTTGCCTTTCCATATAACTTATATAGTGAATCTTTGTTGTATATACTACTACTTTACTTCTCCTGTTTATAAATAAAACTATGCTAGGTGTCATAAATTTAAGTGATTTAATATTCTTAAACCCAGTTTTTAACTTCATCTCTTTGAGTATATAATACGATCAAGCGATTGCTTGAATTGAAATTTATTTTAAATGACTAACAATAATAATAAAAACAAAACATTTAATCTTAATATCTATACGTGTACCTATGTTCAAATGAGCAAACAATGAAAATAGCAGTGACATTCATTTACTTTTGAAAATGTGTCAGAGTTTAATCGTATTCCATTTCATGCACAGTGCGTTAACGGAGTGCATGTATTATTTATCTACATTCACTGTCTGTCTAGAGCATGCTCGTTGATTGCCTCATTTTTATATGGTTTAAGGGAAAGAGATAACGATAGACAGGCCATATACATTGGTTGCTTTTTCTCGGGTTTAATATTGTGACGACAGGGAACGTGTTTGTACTTTTCGTCCATGATAGATGATATGATGAGAGAAATAACATCAAAACATTCGGAAATCTTATTTATACTCGTGGATTAAGCCCCCTCGTACAGATCAGATAGCCTCGTGTTTTGATGCTCTTCTATTACTAATATACTCATATATGTTTAAGACGTAGAGGTAAATTTTATATAAGACTTAAACAACAATAATATTTGATAAAGATTACAAGAAACATACAAACAATATTTTACTAATATTTCTAAAGTACAAAATATTTACTCCCAAAATAAAATAATCATTGTCCTAAATGTTATGTTGAAGAATTACTTTCTTTTTGTTACCTCCCTTTACATTTATAACACCAATATCCACAAGGAAAATTAACCTACGTTCATGATTTGTTCAAAAATGATAATTTTACTTTTATTAAAACGAAAAAACTATAATTTCCTTGCTTTCTGTAAGAAAAAAAAATGGCGAAGTATCAAAATAATTTCTAAACATGCGCTTATAATACAAAACTTTTGGAGGTCATAAAATACATGTTTAAGATGTTGGCCCGGGCTTACTGACCGACCTTACCACAGAATGCTGCCACTTGTTCAGTGGTAGTATAATTAAATCAACAAAGAGTATGGAAACAAAAGTATGTTTATTTCCTAACCGTTTTGGTTTGCAAAAATGATTTTAAGATCATTAATAAACAGCTTTTGTTTTCTTTAATGATAGTGAAATTTGCTTCGTTGTTACATACACTGTTATTTTTAATACAAGAACGACATACGATTGTATTTATGCGTCAGCCATAATATCTTCAAGTTCTTTTTCTAACTCATCAGCTAGCTCCATAACCTTTTTAACATTTCCGTCTGTCAAATCAATTACATCTAATACAAAAAACAAGACATCTAGCGGCAGAGCTACTATAGCGACAGTGTGGCTTACAAAACGAGCAGTCCGGCCAAGTTTTAAAAGACTGGCTGCGACTTTTTCAGATACAATAAGCTCACGAGCAACGAAAGACCCAAGACTGACACCACCAGGAATGCTCTTTCCAATCTTAACACCACATTTTATTCCTTCTGTTAACGATATTTCATTAGCTTTATCCACAGCCTTTTTCAGTGCATCAAACGATACTCTATCCTTATCTAAAGCTTCCTGAACACTACCAATGTATATGTCTCTATAAAATGATTGGTTATGGTTGCGCCAATTGATGTTACTCCGCCAGCAACAGCAACTCCTGTAAGTGCAAATGCAGGAACAAGGGATCCACCAAACGTGAAAGGTGCTATAAAATAACATGCAGCCGCACCTAAACCGGCTGCAACACTTGTTCCACCCCCGACAGCACTTGCAATTTTCGCGTTCTTAGCATGTTCATTCATGTTCTCCCCAAGTTGTCGAAGTTCCTTTATGGTTTCTTTTCTATCACTTGCCCATGTTGAGACTGGATCGGCCTGAAATTCAAAATATTAAATTAAAGATATGAAAAATGAAATGTAGACAACACAACTGTACGTTATAATTAATGCCGAGCAGACTTTCAAGGCAGAACTAACTAACAAATACTGTAAGCCACACTACACTACACGTCAGAGTAAGATTATATTATATATATAAATATATTTATTAAATTATACAAAAGTTAAAACAACATGTAGCAGGTATTTTACTACAATAAAAATATGGAAATGGATGATCCCCGATAATGCAGAAGCATTATAATCCTTTTTTTTATTAACAACAAAATTACAGAAAATTGCAGACTTTGTTTGACACAGTCTGCTCATGAGGGATAATTGAAAAGTTTCCCAATGTAAAAATATGGTGAAAGATACTGCAAAATCAGTCATTAATCGCACAAAACATGTAAATCATATTATTTGAATCTCGAACCTTTTTGCTTTTTTAAATCATAGAACATTCTGCTAAAGTTTGATTGTCTTGGATTTTCTTGCTCATCTCGAGACATGCAATTTTAAATACAGTAAAGTATTGAAATGGCGTTATAACGCGAATAAAGGCGTTATGACGTGAATTAAAGGCGTTATAACGCGAAACAAGAAGTACGTTACTACGACTTTGGTTTTGTGTAATAACGTAAAGCTGTAATGCAAAAAGAAAATCTATTTCCATTCTAGATAACGTGTTTATAAAAAGAGAACTATTAAACATTTGTTGAACTACATTAAGTGTATAAGTTATTTTTCTAACGTCATTTTGTTTACCGACGGCATATCAGCAACATGAGAAGGTCAAAGTCTTTCTTGCGCTCGATAAAACCACTGGGCGCCTCTGGCTCACGACTTAGCACGTACACAGACACGGGGAGATTCAAGCTGCCGTCGTTGATAAAATTACCCCCGCCCCCTTGGACCCCTACCAGGACTCTACGCTGGACCTGCCAGGTAGCCTAAAGCGGTCCCTCTAACCCCCGCGTAAGTGAAAACAATCAATTTATGCCTTGCTACGCCCGTAGATTATCGTTTTACGTTATACCGCTCAGTATAATTTTGTTTATTTGTTTGCTTGTTTGGATTTTACGGCACGTTAACACATAAATGGCCATATCGTGTCGAATGCTATAATAGGCTTAAAATATTATGAAAAACTTTGCAAATGATAATAAAAAAGAGCCATATAGATCCTTGAATACAAGTTTATCTCTTTCAAATAATCGATGATGTAATCAGAATGCAATTGACAGGTTAATAAAATCAAACAATATTTAGGTTAATACGCATAAAATATAGTACATTTGGAATATGAAAAGAAAAGTGTGTTTCCTAGAACTTATCTCATTTAAATGTTTAGTAATCTGTTCTACGAAACATACTTTCCTTTTCGCTATAATGCTCAGTATAACTATATCATATACACAAATTTACTCGCATCTCGTGAAACCGAAAGTCTATCGAAGGTTGATAATTATATTGTATGCTCAGTATGCAATTGACAGGTTAATAAAATTAGATATAAAGCTTAAAGACCTGTATGTTATAATTGAGGTTGCACACTCAAGTGAAATTATGGTTATAAAACAATTTTCAAACATCGAAGAATACGTAAAATATGTACTGCAAATTTTTGTACATATTATATTTAATCATTAAGATATATGCATTTATTTCTTATTGAAAAATGTGACTTGGACATAATAGAAAATATTTTTTTTTATAACCTCCCTTTATTTACATGAAATAGTAATTCGGTAATATCTGTATTAATAATGCTTTTTGGAACTTACAAAATTGATACATCATGTTTAAGATTTAAAACCATAAAAAAATGTGTGTTATAAGATATTTAATATGCTTAAAATACAGTAATAGTACATGAATGCTGTTAATCAAATTACACATGTAAACAAAATTCGAAACTGATTTTATTTTACATACAGTTTATATCAAAAAAGTCTTAAACATATTGGTTTTGTTTTTGCAAGGTTTTTCTGTTGTTGATTTATATATATATATTCCTTTTTTATTTCGATTTTTTTTAAATCAAGCAGTAGTGCATTATTGGAATAAGATCATTTTATGCATATGTAAAATATATAAGGATAAAAAACAATAAATACTTTTCTTGTTTATACAATCTATTGACGATCAAAACTTTTAATATACTATATATGTATCTTTATCAAGAAATGCAATATAAAAAGTGTAACTTACCATTTTCAATGATTTCAATGATTCTTCAGAATTCTTTATTGAAAAATACCTCTTAGACACTCTAGCAAATACCGACAGACACTGAGAATACCTATTAATATACCTAACTTTCTCTGACTTTTGAATGTGAGGAATTGTACTTTTCCTATCTTTTTTATTTTGTCTATAATTTTTGTATATCTAGGAAACTGTGGCACGTTATAAACAGGGAAGTTCATTTACTTAACTTCATCGTGGGATATCTAATGAACTATATGTTAGGTGATGTTGGATTCTTATCTGATTTAAATGTTTAATAATTGCATTCGTTTTCTAATTGAATTCTATATAGAACATTACTCCAATGTTAATAATCTATCCTCGTTGATTCATTTCAACGAAAAACATAACAATTTGACAGTGATGAAAATGTAGTCTAACAATAGTTTAAAATATCATTCAGTGAGAATATTAAACCGCATTTAATGACACTGGTCAATTTTTTTCTCATTTCGTTATAAAACAATTGGGTCATTAACAGCCAATGTCATTCACAGGTCAGTTATTTTTAGATATGAAAATTCCTCATCACGCAGCCAGTAAAGATCACATAGAATCAGCATTTCCATGGCACCCTGGTTCTGATTAAGGCAAAGGCGTGCAAACTTCAAGTACAATATTTAGCCCTTCATCATCACCTAAAATATCAGATTTCATTAATGAAACTACTTACTGTTGTGTCTATATGCACTATATGCATTTTGTTTCAATTATGTGGCAATCAACAAATAAATCTAAACACGGAATAAAATAATATGAAGACTCGGATATACCGGCTAGAAAATTAATAACTATATAGAGGATTTTTTGGTGTAAGATAAAGATATATTATTATATTTCACCGAGAGAAGATTTCATATTTTCATTTGATCATAAATGTAAATCTAAAACATTTTTATTAATTTCATGCTTTTTAAGAGGAAGAGCAAAATAGAAAAGGGGTGGATTAGAGTTGGTGTTGGGCAACTGGTCATTGATTTTGTCATGGTGTAAAGAATCATTGGAGTTTGTCCTTGCTAACATGTTATATTTTTGTCTTAAGCGGCGACTTAAATCTAGATTAAAATTCAGAATCTATAGCTCCGAATTATAAATTTCTACAACACTTTAAGTATTCGGTTGGTTTTAAAAACAATTCTTTTCCTACTGTTTAAATAAACATTCATGAAAATTTAGGAATAAGACCATCGTAGAGCTTTCTTCTTCAAATGGTATCGCAAAATCAGTTTGCATTGTAGCCCTGTCCGCGGTGTTATATGTCATTTCTGTGTCTCCTGGACAATATATGGGCAAAATATATGTCAACAGTGTGATTCATCCGCGGCATCCCCTCTTCTTGAAAAAGAAACCGCGCTGAGTGCACTGTAAATATTAGCGATACCTAGTCCGTGTGCGTTTACAAATGTTTTTAAACATTCAACAATAAGTATAAAAATCCAAATTGTAATGGTATGAAACCATTTATGTCCTCGGTATTTCTTGGAAAATAAATGAGCAAAATATCTGTCAACAGTGTGATTCATTCCCGGGATCCCCGTCTTTAAAGAAAATAGAAACCGTGCTGTACATATTAGCGATGACTGCAAATGTTAGCGAAGATTTGTCCGTGCGTTTGCACACGTTATCAAATATAATACAAAAAAGTAGACAGATCCAAATTGGCGTATCATGCAACCATCGTATAAATGCGAAAACATATCACTTCTAAGTAAAAGTATATCAGAAAAATATGGGACGAACAAACGTTGTCAGTAGGCGATGTGTTTTAGATCAAAGACGATCAAAAAACCAGAACGTCAGCTGAGAGGGAACGTCCGTCCTTTATCACAAAATTGTTCGAACTACTCTTCAAACAATACTGGTGCAATTTCATTCAAACTTTACAGGAATGATACGTACCAAGTCCAGTATTTCGTATCGTCGGCATTTTGCAATTCAATGACTTTTTTGGGCTACCTTTCTTATACTACTGAAGCATTTTGAATTAAATTTAACAGAATTGATTCGCACCTCAAGTTCTTGTGCAAATTACACGGCTGTTTCAACTGAATAACGTTTCGCTGAGTTATGGTCCTTGAATGTAAAAGGCATTTTGACCGGTTTTTGTGTCGCTTTCTACACAATAGCTGGTACATGCTACAAAGTAGCCACAATTTATATAGATCACTTAGCTATAGTCTGCCTCTCCTAAGACACTGCTGGTGCAATTTCAAACTTTAAAGGAATGATCAGTACCAGGTTAATTTATGCATATCGTCCGCATTTTTTAGGGTTAATAATTTTTGTCATAGTTGTGGCCTTTCATTTACTGTAGTTAATCAATTAGCAGCAAACTGCAGCAAAGCAAAATGAGCTGAAATCAAATTCTATTATAGTAAAATATAATAATTGCTGTATTATTATTCTGCTACATATCTCACTGTAAACATCATATCCTACATACATATCCTTTTACAAATAGTGCTTGGTGAATATATGTGTGTCACAAATTAAAGCGATTCTATATTCTTAAACCCAGTTTAACGTCATCTGTTTCGGCATATCATACAATCAAGCAATTGATTGAATTAATGTTTTTTAATGTTAAAAAAAAATCTTAATATCTAAACATGTATTTATATTCAAAGTAAGCCATTAGTGAAATAAGCAGTTAAATTCAGTATTATGAGTGATAAACTCATATATGCCTAAGGCTTAGATGTAAATTTTTATATTTTCTGACATTAAACAACAATAATATTTGATGCAAAAATTAGAAACCTACAAACAATATATAACCAGTTTTCATAAGTACAAGATATTACCCCCCCCCCCAAAAAAAAATAAATAAATGAATAAAAATGTTAATAATAATCAATGTCCTAAATGCTAACGGATTATTTTCTTTTTATTACCTCCCATTACTGTAATAACACAAATTTCGTCACGGACAATTAACCTACGTTTATATAATTTGTTCAAATGTAATAATACTACTTTTTAAACGTGAACACTATAGTTCCACTGCTTTTTGTACGGTAAGAAATAACCTGACCATCTATCAAATGAAAGTAATAAACATGCTCTTATAATACACTTTCCCTTGCCTCTGCTCTGTGTTTATTGCCATATTACCCCAAATAATAACATTGGCCGTTTCTGTGATATTTCTGTTGCATTGGCCATATAAACGAGTAAAAGATACCATATAAATTGTTTTCATCTTTATAAACCATTTTCCTCTTTATAAACTAAAATTATGGACCGAATGAAGGTGTTAAAATACATGTTTAAGATGTTGGCCCAGGCGTCCTGACCGACCTTACCACAGTATGCTTCCACTTTTAAAATGGTAGTATATTTAAATCAACAAAGAATTTAGAAAGTACATTATGTTTATTTCTAAACATTTTTAGTTCACAAATGTTTTTAAAATCATTAAAAACAGCATTGGTTTTCTTTATAATGATAGTGTTATTTACTTCGTTGGTTGTTATTCAAACTGTTATTTTTTCAATACAAGATCGACATACACCTGTATTTATGCGTCAGCCATTATATCTTCAAGTTCTTTTGCTAACTCATCAGCTAGCTCCAAAACCTTTTTAGCAGCCTTGGAAACATTTCCTTTTGACAAATCAATTAGATCTTTTACAAAAAACAAAACATCTAGCGGCACAGCTACTATAGCAACAGCATAGCCAGCAAAACGAACAGTCTGGCCAAGTCTTAAGAGAGTGACTGCGACCTCTTCAGGCAACACAAGCATACGAGCAACGGTTGTCCCAATTTTAAGATTACCGGAATATTCGTTCCAATATTTACACCACCCTCTATTCCTTCTGCTAACGATATCTCCTTAGCCTTATCAATAGCTTTCTTCAGTGCATTAAACGATGATATGTCCTTATCAAGAGCTTCCTGTACTCTTCCAATATAACCTTTCTCTATAAAATGATTTGTTATGGTTGCGCCAAAAGATGTTACTCCTCCAGCAACAGCAACTCCTGTAAGTGCAACTGCAGGAACAAGGGATCCACCAAACGTGAAAGGTGCTGCAACATAACACGCAGCCGCACCTAAACCGGCTGCAACACTTGTTCCACCCCCGACAGCACTTGCAATTTTCGCGTTCTTAGCATGTTCATTAATGTTCTCCCCAAGTTGTCGAAGTTCTTTTATGGTTTCTTTTCTATCACTTGCCCATGTTGAGACTGGATCGGCCTGAAATTCAAAATTTTAAATTAAAGATTCCAAAAATGAAATGTAGACAACACAACTGTACGTTGTACCTAATGCTGAGTAGACTTGCAAGGCAGAACTAACTACAAAATAATGTAAGCCACACTACACTACACATAAGAGAATGATCTTATATAACTATATTAATATACTTACATATAACTATATTAATATACTTACATAATTCTATCAAATAAACCGCGGCGCAGGAGTTTAATAAAGCCATTTAATCAAAACGATATTACACTAGTGAAATAACACTTTGACATGACGCCATTTGCGCTATATAGAAACATAGCGTTTAAGCGCGCTAATGTCAGCGTTACACTATAGGCGCGTCATTGAAAAATTACTCATTATAACAGTTTACTGTTCTTATTTTATATATGTGATAAATAGAGTATTATATTCGTGTAGATTCAATACTAAATTTATTGAACTCGTTGAATAAAACAATATTATGCTCGCCATAGGATCGCATAATATAATTTTATTCCACTCGTTCAATAAATTAAGTATTAAACTACACTCATTCAATATCCTCTATATACAAAAGTTAAAATAATATGTTGCAGGTATTTTACTACAATACAAACACATGGAAATGGGTGATCCCCGATAATGCAGAAGCATTATGAACAACAAAATTATAGAAAATTGCGAACCTTGTTTGACAGAGTCTGTTCATGAGGGATAATGAAAAAGTTTCCCACAGTATAAATTAAGTGATAGATACTGCAAAATCAGTCATAAATCGCACAAAACATGTAAATCATTACTTGAATCTCGAACCTTTTTGTTTGTTTTAAATCGGAGAACATTTTGCTGAAGTTTGATTGTCTTGGATTTTTTTGCTCATCTGGAAACGTGCAGTTTTAATTACAATTAAGTATTGG